GCAGCCACAACGCTGGCAACACCCTTGCCTCACTCGCCAGGTGGGCGGCCAGGGACTAAGCTGCAGCTGGCCTGTGTGGGACTTTTGCCTTCACTTCCCCCCTCCCTGCTGCCTCGGACAGGATGTGGCCTTGCCACATCTCCTCCTTGTCCTTTCCTTTTCCTTGTCCCTCCCTTCCAGCCTCTGCCCTGCCTCCTCCAGGAACCCTTCCTGTACTTACAATCCCATTCCCTGCAGCTCTCCACGGCCTCCCTGCTGGGGCTTTGTCTGCCCGCCACCACTACTGCCCCGACCCTACTACAGACCTAGACTTTCTGAATCCCAGTTCAATCAGGGCCTGGCCCCCAAAAATGCTATCCTGGTCAGGGAGGGAAGGATCCCTGCCCTCACCCTCACTGCCAACTAGACAAGGGCTGGAGGGGGAGATGGTGAGGAGGCCACTTGCCAGAGTGGCAACAGACAGGCCAGCTAAATCCTTGACCTGTGATTTAAGGGGTCGGGCCCAGTTCAATAGAGCACTCCAGGTTGAGTCTCATCTCATTCACGGAGTCAGGAGGAAGGGGGGCAGAGAGGGAAGGGGTCCATCCCGTACTGGAGCATCACCACCAGCACCCTGAAAACCCACACCCTCATCCACATCCACATCCCTGCAGGTGGGGGGCGTGGACACAGTCCCTGGCACATAATAATGCCTCAGTAAGGCTCCTGCTTGTGAACAGTGGAGCCCTTTGTTGGGTCCTGAGGCCAGAAGCTCTGCCCGGTCTTTAGGCCAGCCCACAGGCCATAAACAATGCTCCTCCTTCTTTGGAATTTTCCCCTAGAACTGGGCCATACTAAGAAATAGGGGGGAGCCCCAGATCAGCATGCGCAACACAAGAGGTTTTTCTGGAATAGCTAGAAATGCTGGTCAGGTCCTGGAGCCATCCGTTCACTAGCCTCCACTTACCCTGGGGTCTCCCCCTGCCACCAAGGTTTGCCTAGTGGCAGTTCTATGCAAATGAGATGCAAAGCAGATAGAGAGGGCTGTAGGTATTGGCCAGCATGGGAGGCTTAGCTGCCCAATCCTGGGCAGGCAGCAGTCTAGGCTCCCCACCAGCCTGGGCTGGTCCCGCCCATAAATCAGCTCCGTCAGCGTTAATGGCTCCTGACTAATTGCCTGGACTTGGGCTCCAGGGCTCAGGTCGCCCACATTAAAATTCAATCAGGACCAGCGCTGAGCTATTAAATATTCATTGGGAGAGCTTCCCGAAACCGGGCTGGGGGATGGTAATGGCTGGGTTGGAGGGACTCCCTCATCCTCAACTCCTAGACCCTGCTCCCTAAGACTTTTTCTCTATCTGCTGCCTGACTTCCATTCTGTGGGACCCGCTTCCTTTCCAGAAACCTCTGAGCCCTGACTAGAGACTTTTGGGAGACTGAGCTGCCCTGCACAGGGAGTGTGGTGATAAGCCACACCAAAAGACTGCCCTCAGTGCCCTGCCTTGCCTTCCATGTAGACCACGTCACCTCGCCTCAGGGACCCCCTTGCCCAGTGCCTGCTGTGGACAGAGCACAGAAGGCTTCATCCTGAGGAGAACCCCGAAGGCCCTAGGCCCCCAGTCCTGCTGCCTGTGCCAGTGCCTGGCCTGTTCAACAAGGTCCCAGAGTGCATCAGGCTGGCAGCATTGGGTCTGTGCAGCCCCCCTCCCCTCTGCCCTTCCCCCAGGAATGCAGCCCAGCCCAGCTCCTGGGCCCCTTCCTGATGCTGAACAGGCTGCCTGGAAGTTCTCAAGGAACCACCAAGGGGAGGAGGCTGGGCTGGGAACAGAGCAGACAGTTTGCCCTCCACACACACACTTGCACCCTATGGTGGTGGTGTGGGGAGCACAGCACCCAAAGCCAGGATGAGTCACGCAAGAACCAGGAGAAGCCAGATACACCTATAATCCAAGTGTACTGGGTGACTGAGGCAGGAGGATCAAAAGTTCAAACCCAGAGTGGTCAACTTAGGGGATAAAAATGGGATCAGAAGTTTTTCTAGTTTTCTATGGTTTATTATGACTTCTTTTCACACAGTCCCGTGGCCAGGAGATTTTAGACTTGGGGAGAAGAATATACCAGGAAATATGCAGGAGGGACTTCCCTTTTCTTTTTTGCAGGGCTCTTCCTCTGTCTTGGGGCTGTTCCCTGCTCCTGGTACCTGAGGCCGGAGTACGAAATTCTCCCAGAAGGACCTGAGAGGGGGCTAAGACTGCCACAGCCACAGGTACTGTGGGGAGGAATGGGGACTGAGAGGACCAGCCTATACAGGGCCAGAAGCAGCTCAGCGCTCTGGGATGGATAGTAAGTTTAGGGAACACTGAAAGAGGGGCTTATTCTGCTGTCTGAGGACATCAACTCTTGGCCCAGCAAGAAGCCTGCAGTTATCGGGGAGATGGCTCAGCGGAATAAGCACTTCCCTGGCAAGTGCAAGGGCTTGAGTTCAGTCCCTGGTTCTGCCAAAAAAAGAAAAAAGAAGAAGCCTGCAGTTCTAATCTGAGAACACTCATGCCCCTAGGCACTAGTGCTCCCCAGCAGAAAATAGGGCCCAAGAAGCACCCCTCTCCAGTAACCAAGCAGGCCTGACTAGGTACAGAGTGCATGTGTCTGGCAGCCATTAGGAAGGGAGCCGGAGCTGGAAGGCCTAAAGCTTCAATGGGTCAGGAGTGACCCCTACCAAGTGTCCAATTCCAAAGCCAAACGTCACTGCAACCAGGATTCCAAGCCCACCCCACGTGTGGTTCCCATTAGGGCTGGCTGGGGTCTTCCTGAAGGCCAGGCTGGATTCCTGAGACCCTCCCCCTCCACTGCACAGCCCCTCCCCTCTTCAGGCCCTTTGGAATGTCTGACCCAGCTCTGCTAGCACCCATTTTGGGATTTGAGGGGAATGCACCTCAAAATAGGCCTCTCTGCCACTTTAGAACATCTTGTTGTGGTTTTGCAGGTCTGTAAAGGGGGCCAAAGGATAGGAGTCTCTTGACCCTCCTGAAAGGGCTAACCCCTGAAGCCCCCTCCACCATGCCTGAGGAGTCTTCCCTCCTGTCCAAGTCAGCTGCTTTTATTCAGGACTTGGGCTCAGGCCTCGGCCCCTGAGCTTCAGCTCCCAGGCTGTCCCTATACACTGCCCCTCTGGATGTTCCATGGATCATTTCCCTCCTCCCAAAGCCTCCCTGAGCTTTCCAACCACTCTGCAGCCCTTGAAATCTGGTGCTGTGGAGCCAGGGAGATGGCTCAGAAAGAAAAGCGCCTTCTTGGCAAGCGCAAGTTTGATCCCCAGTACAAAGGAAAAGAAAATCCAGATGAAAACTGGTGCCCAACAGGCCCAATCTGGTCCCTTATTAGGTTTGTGTCATGGTATTTTCAGCACTCATTTTTAAAGTTTTTAAATATTTTTTGAAGTACTTGTCAATATTTAAAAAGCAGGAGGCAGCACATAAAAATGTCTATTTCTGGTTTTTCTAGAAACATTGAGCTTGCATTCCTGGGTGGCAGTAACTGGCTGAGCTGTCTGACAACTGTGCCCCTCAGGAAGGATGTTATGGTTTGTATCTAGGTGTGTCCCCGCCCCCGAAAGCCTCATGAAGTCATTGGGGCGCCTTCTAGAGTTTGTGATTAATTCATGATCCAAGGCTGGGATTATGGGTGTGAATACTGCTGGGATTATGGGTGTCTGTGCTACACCCACCCACCCTGGGGCAGACAGCCTGAAGGCAATATAAGGAGAGAGGGGGGCTGGGGAGATGGCACAGTGGGATAAGCGCTTCCCTGGCAAGCGCAAGGGTCTGAGTTCAATCCCCGGTTCCACCAAAAACAAAAA